GGCCCAGATACCTCCTCCTCAAGCCCCTTCCAGGGCCAGCTGAACAAATGTCTCAGCCAACTCAGCTGACTCCTCTCAATAAGGAGGAGAAACGGCTCTACTCTGAGCCTTACGTGGATGGCCGGCCTTCTAAACTTTTCTCTACAGGAGTGTTTTGTGTAAGAAGCTAATTTCAGCCACTTATATCTTTCAGTCACTATCAATATTTCAAGACCCTAAGAGAGATAAAAACTGTAGACTTACTGGTAAATGGAGCTTTGTCATTTAGCTCATCTCGGTGCAGCATCTGTATTTCAGAGTTAGTTGCACCAAGCTCCCAGCACTCGATCGTGCAAAGGAACCAAAGGAACTTAACTCAAAAACTTGAGGTAGGAGCTCCCCTTTGACTTGAAGAAAGGTATATATATGTAAAAAACTAGGTGTCGAATCCATCTTTTTTTCACTGCTTTTGGGGGTTTTTAAAAAACGTTATGGTTTCCCCAAGACGATTCATAAGTTGTTCATAGAGAACAATTAAGCAGAAGTCTGTGATGTTAACTTTCACCTGTGCTTTCATTGTGAAATGCCGTCTGGAGGATCTTGACAGGAAATGCTATGTGTTGCCAGGGGTAACAGCAGGTCGAAAGAGAAGGTTCTTGAAGGTTGATAAACTACTTAAGATTAAACAATAATTAAAGCCTATATATAAGGCTATATGTAAGGTAAACATACCCACTGTTATATATACCAACACAGGAATGATAGATGATGGTATGCAATAACTTAAGGCTATATCAGGAGCGAGCGCCGCACTTGCGATTGCTGGGATTGCAAAGTCAATGGCCAAAATGAAAAATGATTTTATCTTAAAAACCAAATTGGCCCTGAAAAAGGTAGCACTGAAATTTTGATTCAATTTGGAGATTAATGGGTGATCGTTAACCTCTGGAATGCCTAAACAATAATCTTTAATATCTGTAACAACAGTAGCACACATGATATGTATTCATTTGTTTGTTTGTTTATTTTAAGTTTTATAAATGACTATTTTGAATGCACAAACCTGCACTAATGAAGCACTAACCATTCAGGCTATTTGCTGAGTTTTTTTCTAATCGGTGGGGTGTAAGCTTCACGCAGCTGAAGCTCTTCTAAATTGATTACGCGTTCCAGGGTGTAAACTATGTGCATCTGAAATGCAGAGTGGTGAACTCCCCTGAGGGGCTCCCGGAAATCACCATGGACACCACATTCGGCCTGAACGCATCATAACACTGCCTCCCCGTAGCTCAGAGAACAGACCTTAAATTCCTTATGTTATTCTATAAATCACTGAATGGATCAGCACCATTGCAGATTTGTTGTCAGTGTATAAACCTCCCAGACCACGCACGTCTTCAAGTTCAAGCCTGTCCACCCAGAACTAGAACCAAATATATAGAAGCTGCATTTAGTTCCTATGCTCCACTTATATGGAACAAACTCCCAGAAGGCTGTAAAAACACTGAAAGCCTGAGTTCTTTTAAATCAAAGTTAAAAACCCATGTATTTGGAACTGCCTTTAACTATTAGTTTAAGTTTATGGTCCAGCTATTTTATTTATTTTACTACCTGCTTTTATAATGTTTTTATCTTTACTTGCTTTTATTTTCCTTATACACTATTGTTCAATTCATGTAGAGCACTTTGATATGTCTTTGTACGGAATTGTGGTATATAAATACATTTATGTATCTACATGTGTGCATTTTTTTAAACTCTTTTTGGAAGACTCTAGTCCTAGTCTTAAATGAAATCATCCATGTGCAGTTCCATTGCGTACTGATGTCTGGGAGACTAAAGGCTGTCTGGATTCAGCAGAGCAGTCTGGAGTTCATTTTCTGTTCACCCTGTTTAACCAACAGAAACTGAAGGAAGATGAACTATGAGAAAAAGACTTACATTTTACCACATATAGATGGAAGGAAGGACTCTTTCAACTTCAGCCAGCAGAATTTGTTAATCTAGACAGAATTCATTAAAACACATAGATCTCTCTGATACACAGGTCAACCCAATCTAAATTATGTGAAATTTGACGTGGGTATACCATATCAGAATGCGATGATGTTGTATACTCCTTCCACCTTCAGGTATCTGGAAATTGTATCCAAGCATTAACAAGACTTGTAGAATTTTTTGTTTTGTTAAATCACACAAGAAAACAGTGCTTTTTCATATGCACAATCAAATACATTTACATCAAATAGAGGCTAAGAAATAGGATAGTTCAACCTGCTCTGAATCAGAATATTTCAACCCATGAAATCTTAAACCTTTGGAGTTTCCTACATTTTTAAAAATCATAGTAATCATGTATAGTCCTTTCACACACTTCTCAAACTAAGCACTAATAACTTTGTAAATATATGACAAAAGCAATGATTATGACCATAATAAGGATACTGACCTTGCTGTATGTGCACCCTTAACTTTATTTCACAGTAATTTGTCTGAAAGCAGATAACATAGTTTTAAGAATTTAAAATAAAAAAAACACATTTTGTGCTCTTGTTTGTTTCAATGCACTCAAACAACAACTGTTGATCTCTCTATGTTTTCCTCATCACTTAAAACTTCTATTAGACACAGAAGTGCTACAATATGCAATATATAAAAAACATGGTTTTAAGGGGCTAAGCAAATTAGAACCCTGACAGCTCTTGAAATATTCTGAAATGCTTTTTATATATATATATAAAAAAAAGTTGTAAATGGAGTTTAAACAATATAAACATTAGAAATAAAACAACAATTTACACTTTTACTCAAATCTTAAAAATTTAAGGCGGTTGAAATATTAAGTCAGACAACCAAGTTAACTGATAACAAGGTGCTTACATAGGACATTCACATCAGGCTCATGAATGTTTCATTTCACAGTAAAATAATATAGTGACGCACATAATTAAGATGAGTCATTTAAAAGGAAAAACTAAAAATGGGTTTGAAATCTTAATACATGAAATCAGGCTTACAAAGAACAATCAGCTTACAAATGTTTTCTGATAAATTATTTTTCTCAGGCCTGAGACGGCTCATGGCCGTCAAGTACACAGATGTTTAACATACTGCTGCTGTTTTTTTCTAATCTATTTTGTTAATTAATTCCAATTGAGCTGTTATTGTTACATTATGATATTAGCCCAAAAGTTAATATCTTAAAGTAATATAATTTAATTGAACTTTTCTTTTAATAGTGCAAGTGAAAACTGCAATCAATGTTTTGTTTTTTCCCCAAAAAACTAAATTTTATAACAATAGCAACAAGGGAATCTAGTCACCCACTAAAAGTGTTTTAGTGTAGAACTATAAAAATAAGTTGTTAGCTCTAGCAAGATGTCAATAGTTCCTACTTTCAACCACTAAAAATGATAGGTTGGTTCTGGCCTGGTCACAGCCTTTACCTTTTGGATCAGGTAAAAAAACAAACAAACAAACAACTTGTTTTAAACAGTAACAACTAAAATATGATTTAAGATTAAATGTAAGATAAAAGAGAATTCAGAAAATATATTATATAAATTTTCTAAGTAATTCCGTATACTTTTCTTAAAAGTGAAAAAGGGTAATACTGCTCCTATTCCCCTTGGCTAAAATCTTCCAGACTAAGAAGGGGGTTGGGTTAAATTTGATCTCAAATGTAAATTGTCAGAATAATTGAAGACACATTTTCCTTAATTTGCTTTCTTGTTTGTGGGTAAGTAAGTTGCATTTAAAGTACTGACCATGAAATTTATAAAAACATTTATACAGATTGAAATTCTAGCAATTTGGTGTGCATAACAGAGTATATTGATTACATTTTAGCCATGTAATGAATCATCATGAGCCTTGTTGGAATAAAATACATAAACATCTTACAAATAAAAAAGCTTGAAAAAATTGATAAATGTAATATATAAATTCACAGCCATTAAGTCAGAGGATTCAGTTTAACATTCGAAAACTAAACTTTAGTATGTTGATGTTTGCCTGGTCCTTATCTCTCATAATATACAAAATGCAGAGAAAATTCACAATAAACCTCTCAGCAAGCATCAAGGCCCATTTGAAAAACCAGTTATGTTTGTTTGTATATTATCACACATTATACAATATAGCAGGCTGGAAGAAATATAAAGCAAAATAAAAATTAAAATAAAACCCTCAGTTGTTAACTTGATTTTGAACTCCTCTTAAGAATACATAGAGGAAGCTGCCATAGATAAATTAGAATATGTATCTGTTACATTCATCCTCAGACTTCCCAGCAGGGAAGCTTTCTGTCTTAAATAATGATAATGTACAGCTGCCTTCCCATTGGTCTTTTAGAGATGTACAGCAGACTTTAAAATAAAATCCTATTTCTGGATAAAAAAAGGTTTCCCAATTATTAATTTTAAGGGGGAACCTTAAATAAAATACTGACCTACTCCTGTATGTTAATTAATTCCTCAGACTACGCAGAAAATTTGTAAACATTTTAACTTTTTCTACTTTGGTATAAAAGATATAAATGGCGGTTAATGTAACTGAAAAACAGACGTTTATTGCAGTATGATTTATACTGCATTTTTGCCTGCAGGGACTGGATCCAAACCAGTGAATACTGCACTCTGTGATTCAGGGGACTAAAAACTGAATCCATCTGAATCATTACAAAAATAAAAGAACAAATTAAGTAAAGGTGGCAATAATACAACAGGTGGTGTTTTTTGAAATTACTTTAACACTAGAACCGTAAGAAAATCATTTTTACTCCTTGCACTTTTTCAGCTCTATGTAAAACACTAATTAAACCCTCTGTCTAATACTCTATGGCTTTTACTAAAGTTTCTCTCCTTAACATTGTATCAGGTATAAGATATTTGTGTCATAAAAAGAAAAGGCATTTGACCTTTTATAACAACAACTGCCAAGTAGTCATTTTTATCCCAGAAACACATTATATTATCCTGTAAATCATAAAAAAATATATTATATTTAAATGTGTGGGCCAGAACAAATTGCTTTTGGCCATAACTATAGACTGGTTTTGTTAACTATCTAAAAGCTTGAAAAAGAACAAGATTTGCAAAAAGGTGCAACAAGCTGTTTTTAAAAATTTCAATGCAGGATTTGGATAGAAAAATGTCCTTTTTTGTTTATGAAGGGCTGAAAATCTTTTCACTGCCATATGTACTGAAAACTAACCATAGCAAACATGGGTCTTCTTCTGAGGATGTAGGCATTTTTTACATACATTAATCTGCAAATCACTAAATGCCTTCAGTCGTTGGCAAAAAAAAAAACAAGAACTGCACAAAAAAGAACCGAATGGGCAGAAAACCATTCAATATCAATAAATATAGATTGCTTTTATCTTTGTTTTATAGACTACTATTATTTTATTTTATTTTTTTACTTGTAAGTTAACTACCAACCTTTTCGAAACTTCAACTACATTATATGCCTGTCGTGACTTAATGTAAAACAAAAATATTCCAAATAGCTTTTCTCTGCTGGTTAAGTGTTATTCTCCCTACATAATATATAACAGTTGATGATCAAAAAGCAGTGGTTGTGAATAAAACTTTTGCCTTTTTATGGTCTTAGAAATGGGCTTTAAAACTCTGGCAGTTCGGAGGAGTACTGAAATGATTGCGGTTCTAGGGCTAAAGTTAAACTTTAACATAATTGTATTAAAAGCAGAATGCGGTCAGTTTGATAAACCTGATTCATCTAAAACTTCACCATTTACACAGAAAACGTTTCAAATATAGAAACCCATATCTGTACACAATTTTCAATTAAATATATGCAAGGAGGAAGAAAAAGTGTTCTCTTTGCTTGGGTCCCGAAAGTTCGTCAAAAAAATAAAAAGTTTCAGTTTCTTCATATAGTAGTCTCATATTACACAACAGCAAATCCACTGTCACAGGACTTGGCCATGCGATACCCGAAAAACCTAATATCCATTGTCACATATATATATATATATATATTTATATTCATAATTAATTTGCACTTTTTTCCCCAGATGAATGCTTTAGATAATAATTGAAGTTTTACAAATCTTCACTTCATCTTCTTCACAGTCAAAAGAGATGTGATATACATGAGAGATTAGTTAATTATGGTATAGAATTATCCATTGACTCAGATGTCATACAATGTTCTTGTGTCATTTTAACAACAGAAGGTCCATTTTAAAATCAACTACATGAATTATGATTTATGCTGGGCTGAAACCCCTTTCCAGTAGTCTAAAATATCATGCAGGTCCTCATCTTTTGCAAATTGAACTTTCTTACGAAGAGCATGGCCAGCTGCCATGTACTCTTCATCTTTATGTCGCTTGCGGTGGAGTCTGAATCGCTCCCAGATGCTGTGTGAAGGTTTGCAGTAGTATTCAGGACTAGATGAGTAGCTTAGATTGTGATATTGTGAGGACATCTGGGAATAGGCTAAGTCTCTGGAGCGAGAGTGGCTAATGGGTTCCAACAGCTTGTGGCTATCAGGTCCTTCAAGCTCCTCTATCTGAGCATCGGGATATGAATGCCTGTGGTCACTGTACTGGCGGATCTTGTCTGCCTCAGCCCTCAAGATGGCTGCGGCAGGTGTCACTGTTATTATGCTCTCTCCTGTTGGAGAGGTTTTCTCTATGTACTTGGAGTCAGAGCGATAAGGCCTTGGGCTTCGCATGGGCCCACCTGTGGCAGTGCTGGGCCTCTTCGGCGAGACATCAGAGCTTCTATGCCGCTGAAGAGAGTGATGGTAGCTGTCCTTATAAACTGGAGAAAGAAGGCCAGATTTACTTTGAGGGTGCTCTGATAAAAGAACTAGTTGAGGCTCTGCTGTGGATACTGCTCCAGATTTAACCCCTTGAAAAGAAGTTGATTCTGACTTTAGGGCATCTATACAGTTATTAATAATTTGATTTACTTTATCAACTTCTTTTGCAATTGTGGAAATTTCTGCTACTGATCCTTGACTATTCCCAGCCATTCCCATGTCACACTCCCTACGCTCATGATGATCCATGCTCCGGACATCCATGTAGTTACCCTTCATCATTTTGGGAGTCTCACTTATCTCCTGAAACTTGTACTGCTCCATTTCACTTGCAGATGGTAGGTATGGCATACGGCCCATGCTTTCTCCGGCCATCAGTTGCTTTTGAGACATTCGAGAAATAGTCCCACCTTCTAGTTCTTGTCCATATTTGAGTTCCATTATATTCTTCTTAAGACTGCCTGCTTTCCTTTGCTTTTCATCTTCTTGACGCTTCCTGCGCAAGCAGTAATAAACAAATCCAAGAAAAATCACCATGCTAAAAAGGCAGCCCAAAATAGTCATAATATAGTGAGTGGCAGTTGTGTTGTTTACAACTCTGTCTTTTCCATTCCAAGGCCCAGTGGAGACTGTTAGACATGTGTGGTTGTGTCTAAGAGCATTACGTATCGAAGCAACACAGTATGTGTAGTTAGTGTGGGGTTTAAGGTTTTTCAGCTCTATGTCTTCCTTTTTGGCCTTTAGTTTTTGAATATCTGTGAAAAAGCTGTTGTTATAAAGTACCAGACTAAACATCTTCAGAAAGGGATTAGGAAGCTGTACTGTAATGGTTGCACCTGTGTTTGTTACTTCCCTAACTTTCATCAGAGGGGTTCCCTCTACATCATTTTCAGTTGTACTGATGGTTAAATCCTCTGGTTCGGTGCCTGAGGGACAGTCTTCCAGCCCACAAAGTGTAACATCAGGTGGTAGCGTTGTGGACTCCATGGAGACAGTAATAAATGGTGTCACGTAGTCGTCAGTACACACAGTAGTTAGCATGTGCAGTGCATTTCGGTATGTAGGGTTGTTAGGATTCTGGCTCAGTAAGCTGTAACCTGCAACACCACGTGGAGAGTCACAGACCATCCGCTCATTTGTCCGATTTGGAAAAGTTGAAAGCCATTTTACAAACCCAAGCAGCTCACAAGAGCAGTTGAAAGGGTTTGTGTACAGCTCACAAGTGGTGAGTTTGTTTAGACTGGCAAACGTGGACCCATCTAACTGCTGTATTCGATTCATTGAGAGATCAATGTTTTCTATGTTGGGGCATTCCCAAAAGGCATTAGGTGTCACAGTTTCAATCAAGTTTGCCTGGAGGTAGAGGTACTGCAGCTTTCCTAAACCCCGGAGAATCCCCTCTGTTAGATTTCGTAACTTGTTGAAGCCCATTTGGAGAACTTGCAAGTTAAACTGTGCAGAAAAGGCTCCATCCTCTACGTATGAGATTTCATTCTTGGTCAGGTTTAGGTAGGTCAAGTTGGCAAAGCGACTGAGAGAGGAATAATGAATGCTTTTGATTTTGTTTTCATTAAGACGAAGGTCAACAATGGTGTTATTGATATGCTGTGGGATGGCCTCATAAGGCGGTTGATTTTGGCTGCAAATTGCAAGCCATACAAAGCCCTTTTCACCCTCAATTAACCAACAATCACCATTTACTCCTTCAATGTGAGTCAAACATACAACAGTAACAGACCAAAACAAGGCACTCATCACCATGCCTGATCTGCAGGCCATTTGTGCTTCTCTGAAAGTCATGTATAGGGCCGAAAAAAACAAGGGGGCTTAATACCACGGTTTCAGTACTTTGATGTGATCCTTCTATTGAATCAGCAGGATGTTCAACTGTTCTCAGAGCCAGAATAATTGCTTTTACTTGTCTTGCTTTTACTGATGGATGTGTGATGACACATATTGTCCCCATGTACCAATCAAAAAAATGTTGACTGTCTTCTTTCAACTTCTTCTCAATGAGATATGCTTGTTGGAAACTTGAGGCGACGTTCAAAAGGAGATTTCACCACCTTAGCTTGTCTGGAACTTTTGTCCTCAGAGGCTACCATCATTAAATTGTCTCATCTTGGTGATTCTGGCAGTTCTCTCTTTTCTCTGTCTCTCCCATGTGCACAGATGAATAACCTGCAATATAAAAAAATAAGAGAAGAAAGTGGATGAGCTTGGATAATAACTTATGAAAGATATTAATGTTGATAATAAAATGTAACATATGAAAAGGGAATTCGTGTTCACTCAAGCCCTTCTTATTTGCTCTTCACCAATTATTTTGTACACAGTTTAAGAAGTGTTTGCAGTCTCTGTGGCACACTGCTATTAAAGGAAACTGTTGGCCAATTACCATCTGACAGGTTGAGGAAAGCATGGTCCCTGTTTTCACACCATTAACCTGAGGACTGTCAGGCGGGAGGTCCATGTTAAGAAGCAGTGTTAATTCACATACACAGCATCATGTGAAGTGACAGTTTGGATCAATGTATTTAGCAATTTCCACTGAGAACCTTTTGCACACATTAAATGTCTCAAACGATTGGATTATATCAGGGAGATAGATCATATACCATGATCATGAGTTTTTTTTAAATGTTATAGTAACAGAATCAATTAAAGATAAACAACTTCAGCTTGTGCAAGGAGTGGTTACACAATAAAAATTATGTAATGCAGTGAACAAGTATTACCTCTACAGATTGCTTCTATTTTTTCTTTTTTTTTTTTTTATCACATGCGAGTGATTTAGATACAATCAATTAACCTTAGGGAATACAAATTGTAGTTTTTGAATAGTGATTTTTCTTTTTATGAAGGCAAAAGAAATATAACATGGCCCTATGTGCAAACGTTCATTTCCCTAAACCTAATAACAGGCTGTGCCAACCTTGGCACAAGCATCTAATCAATTGCATTGATGAGAGCAGTTTTAGTTTCTTTCGGGCCATTCTGTAGCATCTCAACCTAAAAAGACATTTCAGATAGATCCATTAATTACAACATGATGTGTGCGTATTGAAAAAGCAAAGCTGCCACAGACGGCGGCTCTGGGATAAGACTAAATTGTTAGTTTTATTCCAGATGTGATGGGGTGGAGCTTCTAAACATCTTTTGTTCTTGTCTTGTCAGTTTACAGGTTATCTTAATAAACAATTTGGGTATTTTTAAGAATATGAGACCAGTGTTTGTGTTCATCTTGCTCAGTAGAGTATTATGTAATAGAATTCTTCCACTCATAACACTTTAACCAACTTTCTGTGTTATTTCAGAATAATGGAGGCTGTTCTTAATTGAGGCAAGTGAGGCCTTAAGTGCTTTAGATGTTCAGTTTTCATCTGTGACCTTCTTGATGAGCTGTAAATTAGCTTTTGGAGGCTGGCCACCCCTGGGATTGTTTACTGTTGCAGTGTTATCCATTTGTGGAAAATGGCTCACATCGTGTTCACTAGAATCGAAACCCACAGATGTCTTTGGTACCGATTCCAGACTGAGAGATGTAATCATTGTAAATGTTTTTTGGTTTTTTTTAGTTTCTTAGTTTCTTCAGATCAGAGAAAGAAAAAAATCTTTTGTTTCTTTATACTTCTCTCCAACTTCATATTGGCGACATTCCATTGTCAGAGAGGTTTTATCCAAGCAGGTTTGTGATTCTAAAGATCAGGGAGTGAGAAATACTCCTCCTCCAGAAGAAGGGTCATTGCTAAAAAGAGTATCAACTTGTGTTGCCTTCCACATACTTATGTAGTCTACCTCAATAACCAGATGAGATTATGTGTATCCCTAAAGGTAATTTGTCTTTCAGTTTGTGCATCCTTATGAATCCCGTGTTTTGGGAGGCCCTAAATGATCTTTTTCAAAACAAGGTCCCCAGTGTTAAAATAAAATGTCAAAATGACAGATTTGTTGTTTACATGTGTTTTCTGCGTTTTTTTTTTTTTTGGAATATATATTTTCTGAAAAGGTGACATTGAACCTCCATCTTTTACTGTACTGTAAGTTGCATTAGCCTAGCTGTCACAAATAAAAACAACCGTGGTACTGCTTGCTGTACATATATAAGAGCTTTTTTATGGTTGTTAATAGTTTCCTGTGATTCTTCCCTTTTAGAGAACCTACTCCACATAGCATGTCCCCTACCAAAAGACATAAAGGTCACACTGAACATGCATACATTTTTGTATATGATCCTGCTCCATGTTGCTCCGTCTACTTCACACAACCTCCCTGCACATGGCTAGGATTTTTCAAATTTTTTGTGGCATTGTCAAAGCATCACCAGCAGGCCTAACATACCTGCCACAGCTGTTTATGTGATTCTCTTGAATTGACGCACCTAATTTCTTAGCCATTTGTGGAAATTTTTTTGTTTTTTTTGTGCATGGACAGAGATTGAGAATCCAGAGGCACAAAGGACCATTGACAGTGTTTTGAGTTAATTACAGTTAATTACAGATGTGTTCTTGAAGTTTATGTTAAACCATAAAAGATGCACAACAATACCAGTTTAAACTTTTAACTACTTGCTAAAAATTGTGGTCTGTAAGAATAAAGCCAGACATTGGTGTAAGGAAACTATAGTAGTGCTTCTTCTCAATAACTATGTTTACATTTACATAAGTAATCCGAATAAATGGCCGATTAGTGAAATTATTTGTGGTGTAGACATTCTAGTCGAACTATTCTGATCAGATTCAGCAATGTCTTAATGAAAATGTAAATGTCTGACTGAGAGGATTGTTGTATACTAAATGACAATGTGATCAACATCCATTTAAATGCTCCTCAGGATCAAGTTATTCTGAACGAGTCATTATTGTAATGTATTTTCACCTTGAGTAGCTAGATGATATGTCAGAATGCTCCAACTGTGATGTTTACATGACACACTTTTAGTCCGATTGGCCATTTTATTCAGATTACATATGCCCATATAAATAGTATTAACCAATTTTTTTTTGTTTCCAAATCTTAATATATTGCCTCTTAAATTCTACGTATATAAACATAGCTAGTGCTTTTGTCAGTGTCATGTGGCACCATCCATGCTTTCTTCAAGAGAATGGGCTATATTTTTACAAGAAGCATATTCTGCAGTCTGACATTCTCTGAAAGCTTCCAGCATCCATATGTACAAAATTCAAGATGCTTTGTTAACATGATTCCAATACAGCATTGTTAAAACATATGAAAGCAAACCTAAAATAAAACATAAGATATTATAAAACCAGTTACAGTACAACAACATCAGTTGGATGTACACCAGCTAATGTCAGCAAACAACTGTAATGTTTATCTTTATCTATTAAAATTGCTGTTGCTATGAAGTCTAATGTCTGAACATGTGTCATTGTCTTTAATGTGAATAAAAACTACAATGCAGGCACAACACTAGTAATGCAAAAGAGGTTTAATCAGTCTCAAATGGAACAAAACTAAGTGAAACCAAAAGTATAAATTTGTAATGAAGGGCTATGTAGCAATTACAAAGTTTAGGATTCTTGAATGGCTGGTGTTAAGGTTAATGCTGTGTCCACACAGGTTGCATTTTTTTTCTTTACAGCTTTTTTGCTGTCTCATTGCCACTCTAGCTACTGCAGGTGGTACAGTCAATGGCAAGCAGGGGAAAATGACAGTCTCCACCCACTTTGAAAATAGGGGGGAAAAAATTAGTGTTTTCAATTCCCGAAGATGTCAAAAAGACAAAGAAACAGATAATTGGAGAAGAGAATGATTGTAAAGGATGTGTAAAATGAACTAAATGTATTTGGAGGGGCCAAGACCCTTTAGAGCGAGTCAGACCAGGGAAAACACTGGACCAAGCAGCATGGCTATGGCAGGTCAGAAATACATGTCCCTATCATCACAGCCCAGACATGGCAAAGAACATTAAAGACAGCCTATTGACAATGTTACACTATATATGTATAGGTAATTAGTCTGTTTTATCAATCAAAATGAAAGTCTACCCATTCTATGACTGACCAGGCAAGGGCCCACACATTTCTTTGCTGCAAAAGGAAATATTCTGGAGATAGGCCATGTTCAAAGTTATAAAGATAATATTTGAATAAATATACACCCTGTTATCCAGTTCTCTTTCAACTTTAATACAGAACTATTTTACCAGCCCAATAAAAGATAAAATAATAAGAAAACAAAATAATAGAGGAAAGTTGAATGATTCACTTAGACCAGTGTCAGTCGTGGCCATATAACCATAATAGCAACAATAATGGCAATGATAATATTTTCAATAAAGATTTAAAATAATATCGAGCAAGTAGGCTACATCTTATTTGATTGTAGATTTTAAGGGGCCTAGACAATGTTGCAAATTATAAAACAATAATGATGTGTTTTACTGTGGGTTACAAGGGAGAAAATGTATCTTTATATGTCTTCACTTAAATTTTTTCAGCTAACAGAAAATGGCATCTTTGATCCAAAATGGCCAACTTCCTGTGGGGTTTAGACCAAGGCTCCAAGAGACTTTTTTCTGCATCTGTTGGGTTTTACATGTGAACCAAATTTCATAATCCTCACTTAAAGTATGGCCTGAGGCTGTTTAGTTACTAGTAGTTGTTAGTTGTAATCATGCAAGCCTCGCTTTTCCTTTAATGGTCAAATTTCTATTTAAAATGCCAAAAAAAAGACAAGCAGCTCTTATGCTTACAATTTTTTTTTTCAAAGTTCAGTTCTCCTTAGTTCACACAGTGTTAGGAAATTATCAGCGACGATGCTTAGATAATCAAGTAAAAGCCCTGGTCAGCTTTTCGAGTACAGTTAAAGTGCAGCAATAAATGGTGCCATGAATACTGCAACAGACTGCCAAAGGCTGCCATTATAAAACCACCTTCATGATGACAAAAGAGCAGTGGCACAGGAGCACTGAAGAAAAAACATTCTCAAAACCCCTGAGAGGAAAGAGGTTCCAAATCAAATGTTCCATGAAATGAATATGAAAAATACAGCTCTGCAGAATATCTAGCCAAGCAAAAAGATATTCTAAAGAAAAAAGGGGCCTTGTTACTGTTCCTCAGTCTATGACCTTTATTGCAAATACAGCATGGCAGAGATTGAGCTCATCTGACCTGGCCTCCGCTTGCTCACAGCGTGGTAACATGCTTTTAGCC